ATTTCTAAAATTGCGAAACCTACGTATACTGGTTTACAAAAATCGATAATTTTCTTTTCCAATACAAACGCTGATAAATTTTCACTGTACGTTGTACAATGTTTGAAATTATGCTTTCTAATTAATTTAGCCGCTCGTTTAGGATTATTGACCAATTCCATTTGCGTTCTAAATTGTACACGTTCCATCATTTTACCTGTTAACAAACGAAATCGCATTAAAATTATGTTTATATATATTTTTATTTAATTTTAAAACTTACCAAAAACAGCGTTGTTCATTAATTTAAAAAAGTCTTTTTCAAAATCATTTTTGGCTTTCTGTCTCATCTCCGTGTTGAGTTGTATATATTTTGATAGCCAGGCCGACTGCTTAAATTGTAACACCTTATGCACCTGTAATTTAATGACATGTTATTATTATATTTTTAAAATATAATTTTATGAATTACCTTTTCTACTTTTAATCCGTTTGCCATAGCCTGTTTTAAATTTAAATAGTGTATAACGTAGTTTTCTTTCCGATCGAAAGTAGACAACAGTTTTTTGACCCGTGAATTAGGCGGACATTTTCGTTCAGGTAGAAACGGCATTTCGTTGTGGGCATCATGTAACTCTTTCGGGTACGACACCGTCACTTCAAGGGCCATTCCTATAGGAGAATCCCCAGGTAACTCTTCCACAGTCTTTAAAATTTTTGTTTCATCGTCCACGTCTAACCACTTAAAGTCACCACATGGCATATGTTGAGACATACTCCAACCATACAAATTATTGACATCCCAATATATAATTTCATATTTTTGTTGTTTAATATCATAATTAGGCGTTTTTTCATTGTTGGCTGTGGCATGTTTCAACACCGAAGTTGTCATTCCTCCCCGTATTCCTCTCTCAATAAAGAGTTGCTGTTCATAATCACTCATGAGATCTAGTGAAACGCCCGTATGCAGCAGCATAGCGTCAAAAGACAAACCGGGACTCGTAAAATAATATGCCGGTTCCAATTTATATTTTAGTAAACATAACTTGCGAAAATTCGTAAAAACATCCGCAAGTATTGTTACGTCAGTTTTCATGTACAGATCAGAGTACTCACCGAGGGTTTTACAATTGAAATGTTGCCAGACGTTTTGTGCGTGTTTGTATTCGGCATCATCTATATGCGTTTCTGACAGATCGTTATAAAAATCGGCTTTTGACGGCAATTGTTTTTCTTCGAGTACATCCCAGCTTGAGGTGTATGAATACGGGTACACGCCTTTACGGGTCACCAAATCAATGTCACCGTCCGATGAAAACGCTTTTGCGGTTTCTTTGAATAATTTTATGTCGGCGGCGCGCAAATTTTCAGCGAGAGCCGCTAAACTAGTACTCATAAAACGAAATGTATCGACGAACCTTAGCGAAAATTTGTTTGAAACAAATTTTGAAAAAGAAATATATTTTTCTTCTGTAGCGGGTATTACACTTATTCTACTAGTATCTCTTCCAAGGGCTTTAACTAAAAAGTGTCCGTCGTACGAGCTAAGATTATGGAAATATACGTTAACAAACTTGGGCGTTGTTAATTTTAAATTGCAACTGTTACAAAGCGTTTTTCTAAAATTACCTGAAACAAATGTACATTTTCATTTTTTATTTTAATTACTATACATTTAACATAGTTATGTTTATGATTTGCCTGTCAAATGATCATGGTCTGCTACTTTATGATTATTCTCTGTAAAACTACCTTTACATAAGTCGCAGCAGGTTTTCTTTATATGTTCTTCAGTTTAATGTGAGCGGGTGGTTGAAATGGAGAGAAGCGTCTGGTATCTTATGCGATAAAAGAATTCCAATGAGGCTGAAAGGTAAATTCTACCAAACTATAATAAGGCCAGCTATGATATATGGTTCAGAGTGTTGGGTGGTTGATAAGAATGTAGAGCAGAGAATGATTGTAGCAGAGATGAAAACAGAGCCGGATTAAGTGTCAAAGCCGCCCTGGAGCAACGTATATATCCTCAATTCATTCATATCATACATATACTCATTCATTATAAAGTAAATTAAAGTCATACAAATATCAACGTTCGTCTTGAGCAACTCTTCAATTTTCAACGCCACTTCAGCTGACGTAGCTCGTCGTTTTATGGATGACGTATCCATAAAACGATTGACTATTTCCTCCGGCTCACTGCTTTTATTTCCTCTGTATATTTTAGGCGTCGTTTGAATATTATACTGTTGCAATAATTTTATGGGTACACTGTCGGCTGCTTTTACTATGTATCCATAGCTCATTGCAACATGTTCATGAACAAAATTTGTGTTGCCTTTCATATCATTGTTGGACTTGACCAGCAGACTTTCAAAATCTGCATAAATTGCAAATGGATGTTCCTGTGTTTTGCCCCATGACTCGAACTTTAATTTAGTACCCTCTTCAGGCATTACAGGTAAAAACGGTTTGTTTTCGCCACAAATTTTTTTATGTTCTTCTAGCGCCTCAACTCCACGTAGTTTATACTTTTTAGGTACATTATTAAAGCCCGTGAAACACCGTTTACAAAATATACTTTTTGCCGTATTCTTTGTTATTTGTGATTGTACCAATCGACCAAAATCGGTAATATAAGTGTAATGGCTGTCACCCGCGGCGTTTGACACAATTAACAAATCAATATGGTCTTTAAGTTCTTCAGCGCATACTTTCAGCGGATAAACTAAATATTCGGGTTTATTATGTAAATCTTTCAATTTTAGTCCGTAAACATTGACTGAAATCGATGTTGGGAATGATAAACCGGAGAAATTATAAGAGTTTTCTATAAACTTATAGTTGTAACCTACTATATATTTGTTATTACCAGTCACTTTTTTCGCCAATATAGCCCATTTGAAACATTGTTGATCTATATTTTGCGGGTTTATTACAGCATTTCTGTTTTTAATATCATACGGTAAATCAATGTAAGAACTCCCGCCTAAAGGCTGATATTTGTAAACACCCAGTAAAATACCGCCTATATTAGAAAACGAAAAATTACTACCTTTACCAGCATAGTTTTCCTGTTCTAATAATTTTGTGTATGAAATATCCACAGCATGATCAATATCGTCCTCATTAATTATCTCAGCTGCCGACGTTTTAAATGGCCGATTTTCATATTTGTTTTCATTATTCGGTACAGTATAAGTCGCCTCTAGTTTTAAGTTGAATTTTATCGGCCCCATTTCTTTAAGGCAGTCACGTAATTTTTCAACTAAATCACCTCTTGTTGCTGACAAAAACGATTGATACCGACTACATTTTCAATATTCTTTTTGTAAAACCATAAAATTTGACTATTTAATGATTCACCCGTTTTATGAAAGCCACTCGTCGTAATGTCTTGTAATCGTTTAGCCTTTACCCGTTTACTTTTAATCGAATTGTCGGTGTTACTTTGTTTGCGACGTTTAGGACTAATTGTACTGGGACCCACCTGCATTCTCTCCGCAACATTTACATTTTCTAAAAACAAATATTCATGTATTTATTTTAGCATATAAATTTTTAATAATATATTTTCTTTACTTACCACTAGTTGACATAGATCTCGAATTAGCATGATTTCCTATAGCAATATTATAGTCCACACCATACTTTACGAGGTCTAAAATAATACATTTATATTAACACTCTACTAATATATTTTCTCTTTTCATATTAGTATTTTACTGAATAATCAATTATAATACTCACGGTGAATTGTCTTAACATGACGCGAGAGTGCCCATTTGTGCCGAAAAACTAGATGGGCATAAATAACACTTAAATCGTATACCATCATGACTCTTTTGATGACGTACCAGTCCATGTTTGAATGCAAACACTTTTTCACACTTGTCACAAGCAGAGGTGTCGTGGAGCGTATACGCGGGTATACGGCGTATACCCACTTCTTTGTTTTTCTGTTATTGCGTATACTTATAAAATCATGAGTGATACGCGGGTATACGGCGTATATCCACTGTTAGTTTTTTTATTAGTGCATATACGTATTTATAAAATAGTTAAAGAGTATAGACTAAAGAATAAAATAAAAAGTAATACGTGAGTATCGAATATAGGTACGTTTGTCATAAAATACAAATTTTGAATAACTCTTATCAGTTTGTTTAATCTCTACAGTCATACCACATATAAACATATATCTGAAGTTATAAACATACAAATATGGCTCGAGACTATAATCATTTTAAAAATAGAATATAAATGTAAAACAAAACACTGTCAAAGTGTATAAATAAATAGGATAATGTTTATCATTTCACGACAATTTTATTGACAAAATTTAAAACATCGATCAGAAATGAACGATATAGCACATACTAAGTTGAAACTGAAAGTTATTGGGTTAACCTATATGTTAACCCAATATATGTTAACTTATGCTGTTGAAATTGGTAATTTGTATTTTTCCGTAATAAACCGTTTACCAACCAATCTAGTATTTAATATATTACCTATAATGAATTAAGATAGTACTAACATGTACCTATTCACGTTTATTTCATTTATGTTTTAACGATTTGAAAACAATGATTGTAAGATTATTTTATTACTGCATAAAGTTTATTGTTTATTTATAAAAAATATAACAGTATCTAATAATACACATATCGATTATATGACTATGAAATTTAATTTATGTAAGAACTTAGAAGTGTCAGTAAAAATATTCGAGTAATAGTTTGGAAGTTGAAAGGAGCAACTGGGAGGGTTAGGAGTTTTAGTTGCATTATGTAATAATTAGAAAATACATATTTTTAACACAGTTAAAATATCACAATATTTGTATTCCGTCCCCCAAAACTATGTTATAGTTAAGGCCTTTGAAATGTAGTGTGGGAGTGAAATTCCCCACGTTTCCTCATTTAGGTTTTTAACTTATCTATTTATCAAATTACGACTATATCTCTGTTGATAATGTGAAATATTGTATGTAGAAAATGTAAAGTGCAATGGGGGGTGTGGGGGCGGAGCCCTCCACGTTATTCTCTATTCATTATATAGGCGTAAACCCATAAACATTTTTAGGACTACACCACTGGTCACAAGAAAACATTTTTAAGGCGTTTAACTGACACAACACTATTAATTTTACTCGAGTAATAATCCTTCTTTTATGGGGAAAAATCACATATTTTCATAGGAGGGTCAGCAAATCATAGGACACATATCCCCGTATACTAACTGTTTTCTTCATCACTTAAGTAATTTCACTTTAATATCATAATAATTAATTTTAAACTCTCGATTTCTAAATATTTGTATACA